ACCCTCCTTTGTAAGAAGCAGAGCAAGGGCCTTTTAATAAGGGAAGAGCGAGGATTCACTGTCAGGATGCAGGTGAGTCGTGGAACCCAGGGCAGAGAATGGAAGGGTTGGAACAGGACCTGGGAGACACGGGGCTGGCAGGTGCACCCCCCACTTCCCCTCCTTCCCCTGTAGTTTAATCCCCACACGCACCCATTGCAATCACCCCAGAAACTCACCGCTCCTGTTTCCTAATGAGCATTGGATTGGCCCACAAGCTGCAGCTGGGCGCAGATGGTTTCCACATTAGCTTCATTGCCTCGCATGGAGGCCGCATTGGGCCCCCACGGCCAAGGTTGTGGGATCGGGCAGGCCCAGCTGACTCACTTCCCCTTCGCCAGCCCCCAGCTGTGCGCTTGGCTGGCCTTGGCTTCTTTGTCGGATGCATGCAAAGTTCTTGCAGGCGGGGCATGTTGTCTTTTTTAAATATAAAACCAGATGCCATCGAGCTGACTCTGCCTCATGGCAGCCCCGTGTGTGTCAGAAGAGAACTGTGCGCTGGAAGGGTTTTCAGTGGCTGAGTTTTTCAGAAGTAGATCACCAGGCCTTTCTTCTGAGGTGCCTCTGGGTGGACTTGATCGGCTAAGTTTTCAGTTAGTAGCTGAGCACTTAACTGTTTGCACCACCCAGGAACATCCGCCCGCGTTTTAAGTACATAACACCTTTATTGAGATACAATTCTCATGTAATACAATTCATTGATCTGAAGTGCACAGTTCCGTGTTTTTTAATGTATTGACAGGGTTGTGCAGCACTTCACCGCAGTCAATATCTGCACATTTTCATCACCCCAAACAGAGTCTCTGCCAGTTCCTTCCGTTTCCTCCTGACCGCCCTTTCCCAGGCATAGGCAATGGCTAATCCACTTCCTGTCACTACAGATTTGTTTTCCTTATCAATCTCCTTTTCTACCTGGTCCTGTCGGCCTGTGCACTGTTCACTAGCCTTGATCCCTTGCCCTTCACCAAGGTAGTGATTACCTGGTCTGGAGTGAGGTCACTGACCTGTTGTTCCAAGCATTTCCCCAGATGGAAATCCCTGGTTGTTTATTTAATTTATTCCTTCTTTCAACAAGTGTGTATCAAGTGTGGGGTCTGGGTGATCACCTCTGCTGTAGATTGCCCCCGCTGTAGATCACCTCTGCTCTAGATCACCCCTGCTCTGCTCAAGATCACCCCTGCTCTAGATCGCCCCAGCTCTAGATCGCCCCTGCTCTAGATCACTCCTGCTCTGGATCGCCTCTGCTCTGCTGTAGATCACCTCTGCTCTAGATTGCCCCAGCTCTAGATCGCCCCTGCTCTAGATCGCTCCTGCTCTGGATCGCCTCTGCTCTAGATCGCCCCTGCTCTAGATCACTCCTTCTCTGGATCGCCTCTACTCTAGATCGCCCCTGCTCTAGATTGCTCCTGCTCTAGATTGCCCCTGCTCTAGATTGCCCCTGCTGTAGATCACTTCTGCTCTAGATTGCCCCTGCTCTAGATCACCCCTGCTGTAGCTCACCTCTGCTCTAGATTGCACCTGCTCTAGACCACCTGTGGTCTAGACTGCCCCTGCTTTAGATCGCCTTTGCTCTAGTTGGTGAAACAGCTTGGATCTGCCCAGTGCAGAAGTTTGGCTGTAACTTGCGTTTGAAGGCCATTAGCACAAAGATTCCTGTGGGAGATGTGATCCCGGCACAGGAGCAGGATGCCCTACCACGCGATGCACAGACACCAGCATATGCTTATCCTTTAAGTGCTCAAGGAAAGACGTGTGATCATCTCCTTATTCTAAAAAACCCAACTGCATTTATTAGGAGAAATGATTCTTCCAGTCAGTGCTTCTCTATTGACGTACACCTATCTGCCTCTTTGTTTTATTTTGTGGATGTCTGTTCTTGCCCTCCTTACTGGGAGCTTCCAGAGGGTTGGCAGGAAGGTCTCTGCCAGCCACTGTCTCAGTCTCCTGGTGCTGCTGTAACAGAAATACCACAAGTGGTGGCTTTCAAGAACAGACATTTACTTTCTGACAGTTCAGGAGCCTAGAAGTCCGAATTCAGACACTGGCTCTAGGGGGAGGTTCTGTCTCTGTCAGCTCTGGGGGAAGGTCCTTGGCTCGCATTCTGTAGCCCATCTTCATGTGGCATTTGTCTTCCCTGTTTGCGCTTGTTGTTTCTCTGTCTATGCTGCCCCTTATCACTCAGCAGTGATGAGGGTTGGGGACCGCCCCCCTCCACTGATGTGGCCTCATTAACATAAAAAAGAAAACCCTCTGCCCAAACAGGATTGCATCCACAGGTATAGGGATTAGAATTCCAGCACATATTTGAGGGGAGGACACAATTCAATCCATAGCAACCCCAGGGGCAGATAGATGTTCAATAAATGGACAAAGAATGGATTTATTTTGGTTGTAAGACTACATAAGAACAGTTCAGTCCCCCAGGGACAGACTAGCAAGGCCATTTCATGGATGCAGTGAGGGAGAAATATCTTCCAGAGTGGCGATATTCTGGAAACCTTTCTAGTTCTGAAAGAATTAGAATCTAAGATTGAGGTCTCATTTTCACCAAACAAACTAGCTTTATACACAGTACCCACTTGTCGGAACTATTAAAGCTCTAGAAAACGCTTCCTTAGCACAATAAAGCATGTTTTGACACCTTATTCAGTAATCATTTACCTTTATTAACGCACCTCAGGCACAGCCGCCACCCGTCTGTCAGCGGAGGCTTGCGTGCTGCTGTGACGCTGAACAGGTTTCAGCAGAGCTTCCAGACTAAGACGGACTAGGAAAGAAGGCCTGCCAATCCCCTTCCAAAATCAGCCAGTGAAAACCCTACGGAGCGTAAATGGTCTGACCCACAGCAAATCATGAAGATGGCTCAGGACTGGGCAGCGTTTTGTTCCGTCGTGTGTGGGGTCGCCATGAGTGGGGACTGACTTGGAGGCAGCCAGCAACAACGACAACAATGATGATCTATCGTTGTTGAAACATGCAAATGATGCTTAAGTCTCCAATTGGAACGCAGGCTTCCTGAGGGCAGGATGTTTTCTGTTTTGCGCAGGCTTCCTGAGGGCAGGATGTTTTCTGTTTTGCGCAGGCTTCCTGAGGGCAGGATGTTTTCTGTTTTGCGCAGGCTTCCTGAGGGCAGGATGTTTTCTGTTTTGCGCAGGCTTCCTGAGGGCAGGATGTTTTCTGTTTTGCGCAGGCTTCCTGAGGGCAGGATGTTTTCTGTTTTGCGCAGGCTTCCTGAGGGCAGGATGTTTTCTGTTTTGCGCAGGCTTCCTGAGGGCAGGATGTTTTCTGTTTTGCGCAGGCTTCCTGAGGGCAGGATGTTTTCTGTTTTGTTCACTGCTACCTCCTCAGCACCTAGAAGTGTTGTTATTGTTGGCAGGTGCAGTCAAGGCAGTTCCGACTCACAGCGATCCCGTGTACGACAGAGCCAAACGCTGCCCGGTCCTGCGCCATCCTCACAATCCTTGGTAGCTTTGAGCCCATTGTTGCAGCCACTGTGTCAGTCCATCTCATCGAGAGTCTCCCTCTTTTACGCTGACCCTGTGCTTTACCAAGCATGATGTCCTTCTCCAGGGACTGATCCCTCCTGACAACATGTCTAAAGTATGTGACACGTAGTCTCACCATCCTTGCCTCTAAGGAGACTTCTGGTTGTACTTCTTCCAAGACAGATTTGTTCGTTCTTCTGGCAGTCCATGGTGTATTCAATATTTTCGCCAACACCACAATTCAAAGGCATCAGTTCTTCTTCGGTCTTCTTTACTCATTGTCCAACTTTCTCATGGATATGAGGCAATTGAAATACCATGGCTTGGTCAGGTGCACCTTAGTTCTCCAAGTGACGTCTTTGCTTTTTAACACTTTAAAGAGGTCTTTTGCAGCAGATTTGCCCAATGCAATCCGTCATTCGATTTCTTGACTGCTGCTTCCATGGGTGTTGACTGTGGATCCAAGTAAAATGAAATCCTTGACAACTTCAATCTTTTCTCGTTTTATCATAATGTTATTTATTGGCCCAGCTGTGAGGTTGTCTGTTTTCTTTGTGTTGAGGTGTACCTAGAATTGTACCTGACATATTTTATGTGCTCAATATCTGTTCAATAAAAAAAGTACATAAGAAATTAACATTTCCTGCTTTTTAAAACATTTAAAAACATAAGTTTACCTATTAAAAAAGAAGATCCCTCTTGTTCTCTCCCTAATCTGATTTCCATCCTGGGAAAAGTAAACACTGTTAACAGGCGTCTTCTCTCCCAAACATATGTTTGTGTTTCTGGAATAGAGACTCTAAACTTTTTAAACACAAATGAAATTTAGCTTGCCTTTTCTACTTAGTAGTTCTTGGACATTTTCCTCGTCCCTTTGTATCAGTCTGCCTCGTTCTTTCCTGCCACTGCCTGGATGAAGAATGTTCTGGATGAAGAATGTTCTGGACGAAGAATGTTCTGTTCTAGACGAAGACTGTTCTGGACGAAGAATGTTCTGGATGAAGAGTGTTCTAGAATAGATTCCCACTTCTAGAACATTTATGCTGTCTCTAGGTTTTCCTTTCCTGTCTTTTTTTTTGAGCTTCATTTATGGTATTTCACTTGTTATATGCCTTTATACACTTGTATTTCTGTAGAATACAGTCTTAAAAGTAGAATTGTTTGTTCACGAGGTGTGTGTATTTTAAAATGCCACCACTTTTTACTCTGCATTTCCATCTCCCTGATTTCTTGTGGGAGCCTTGTTGGCACAGCGGTTTAGGGCTCAGCTGCTAGCCTAAAGGTCAGCAGTTTGAATCCACCAACCGCTCCTTGGAAACCCTGTGGGGCAGTTTCACTTCATCCTATAGGGTTGCTATGAGTCAGAATCGACTCGACAGCAATGGATTTCTTGTGGGCCCTAGCCTCTGACCAATTTCCTGTGGAGAATATCTCTGCCGTTGTTCTAACAGCAGATGTCTTCTTTCCAACTTGCAGGACAGCTGTGCAAGAGTGTTGCTGTTTCGAGGCGGAAACAAGGAATTAAAAAACTACAACAGCCAGACTCCGTTCCAGGTAAAGAGTGTTCTCAAAACACAAGACACACCTGTGTGTGAATTACTTCGGGAGACAATTTTGAGTGTCTGCACGTTGTATTTGAATGTATAACGCGAGGTTGGCTTCTTTCGTTGTGAACATTTTCTTTATTTATAAACTGTTCAGGGTCTGTCCCCATGTACCTCTATCCCTGAGCATTGAAGCTGTCGATATATTTCAGCTTCTTTCCTATTAGATCAAGCGTCATGAATAATGCAGACTTCCATCTATGTGGTGTATTCAAGAAAACAGCTTTGGAAAAGCAATAAAGACACAGAAGCTTTTAATTGTGCAGCTGTTGGAAAGTGCTGGCTTCGTTGTCTGTCCTTTGAGTGGGGATGCTTTATGACAGTCTCATGGGGAGGTGGCTTGCCATTTGTCTAGAACCCCACTGGGTCTTCTGTCCTGGAGCAGAGAAGGAACAGCATAAACCCTGTGTGGGCCATGGTATTTCACATGGGGCCCACAAGCCAAGGTCCTTGGTCGGCTCATCCAATTTTGATCCTGTGGACCGGACGGTTTAGAGTGCTTTTTCTTTTCTTTCTTTCTTTTTGTTTTTGCTACACGCTCTAAGTGACAGAAATGCTTTTTGATGCTACACAGTCAGATATATCCACTTAATTTGAAAGCTGGAGTGGCCACAGTTCTTAATTGGAATTAATTTTTGCGTCTTACTGAGCTGGGAAAAACCAGTTGCCGTTGAGTGAACTTCCACTCGTGGTAACTCCGTGTGTGTCAGAGTGGAACTGTGCTCCACAGGGTTTTCGGTGGCTGATTTTTTGGAAGCAGATTGCCAGGCCTTTCTTCCGAGTGCCTCTGGGTGGACTCAAGGCACCAGCCTTTTGGTCAGTATCCGAGCGTGTTGAGAGGGGTCTTTGACGGAGAATTGGCTTCCACCGATGGTTTCACTATCACTTCCTTAGACATTACTAATTTGTAAGGGCTTGATATCTCGAAAGTGAACGAGTTCAATCCAAAAACTGGGCCCGAGACGTTCAGTAACCTCCATTAAAGAGTTGGCTTAGTTCCTCAATTGTGGCAGACTTGGATTTTAGCCTTGGTTCTTATGGTTTTGCAAATGTTTACTATAAAATGGATTGTAGAGATGACTTCGTGCTATGCTGATGGCTTCATTAAGATTGTAGTTACCATCCAAGAAAATGACCTGTGTCAGGCGGTGATTGTGGGGGACTCTTGGCCTTCGTGGTGTGGCTGCGTCTTCCCCTTTGGGGTTAGCTGTGGGTTGGTGGCGTGGTGTAAAGATTTTTTTTTTGCCACTAAATATTATGTTTCTCTGGTCCTTGAGTCTATGTTCAATGCATGTATCTTGATTCGTTTTCCTTTGGAGTCCCTGGGTGATGCAAACAGTTAACATGCTCCGTTTCTAGCGGAAGGATTGGAAGTTCGAGTCTACCCAGAGACACCTTGGAAGAAAGGCCTGACAATCTGCTTCCAAAAAGTCAGCCATTGAAAATCCCATGGAGCACGAATCTACTCTGACACACGTGGGGTCTCTGTGAGTTGGAATTGATCTGACAGCAATTGGTTTGTTCTTGTTTTCTTTTTTCCCCCCTGGTCCTTTAAAAAAAGATAAGAAAATCTACTTCAAGTTGCTTAGGGAAAAAAAAAAAACCCATTGCCATTGAGTCGATCCCAACTCATAGTGACCCTGTAGGACAGAGTAGAACTGCCCTGTGGAGTTTCCAAGGAGCAGCTGTTGGATTTGAACTGCTGATCTTTTGGTTAGCAGCCTGGGATGGTTAAGATTGTGTGTTGACTTGGCTGGGCCACGATTCTCAGTGTTTTAATGTGATCACTCCCATGACTGAATATACTGTGAGTAGCCAATCAGATGAAAGGGAGTTTCCTTGGGGGAGACCTGCATCTGAATATAAGCGGATGTTCTGGCTGTTTGCGCTCTCTGGATCCTGCGGCTGCCTCCTGTCATCTCATCTCTGGTTCTTGGGACTTGAGTTGTCAGCTTATCTGCCAAACCTGGGATTCGTTGATCTTCACAGCTGTGAGCGGAGCCCTGCTTGCTGACCTGCCAATCTTGGGCTCTCCAGCTTCTGTGGCTTTGTGAATTGGGAGAGGTCTCTACCCTGATCCATGGACTTGGGACATTCTAGCCTCTATAGTCGGATGAGCCATTTCCTTGATATAAACCCCTCTCTCTATATATATTTACACGCTTTACTGATTTTGCTTCTGTATGGAACCCAGCCTAAGACACAGCGAGCTCTTAACCACTGGCCCACCAGGGCTGCCATTTGCTTAGAAAGCAGCAGTTAATTCCCTCTGGTCCACGGTAGGCACTTGGGTAATACTAAAGTGCTGTTTCTGACTTTTCTGGGAGGTGGCTTGTAGCTGTCACATGATGGCCCAGGGAGATGACTCTTCCATGGTGAGCAGGAACAAAAATAAATGTAGGTGGCCTGCCTCCTCCCTGGAGACCAGGCAGTGACCAGCTGGGATGGTTACACCTCTTCTTCTGTGAGTACTGGCAGGAAGCTTAATATACCCTCATGGCAGCAAAACCGAACCAGCAGAAACCCAGTGCCATCTGTCTCTATTTTGCTAACAACACTCAATCAGGTGCCACAAATGACTCTGGAAGAAAGCTATGCAGAATGTCTTTGAATTGATAGGATGTTGGACCTTGCAAACATCGTTCAGGTAATCAGTGAAATTGAAGCCTTTGCATCTTTGCGGGCCCACAGTGAGCTCCAACTGCACGTGTGGGGAGCTGGGTTCCACCCTCACATCTCCACTGTCTTGTGTTTTAATAATACGAAGAGACTTGATTCAGTCTGTGGATGCTTGCCTGTAAAACATCCCCGGCTTTCACTTTTCATTCACAGTTCTTCCTCTCCCATTTATGAAAAATGAATCATTTAATATTGAGTTTGTGTGGAGGCGATGGCTTGCAGCATTGTTTAAAAGAGATGAAATATGTTCACCTGGAAAATGTTGACATTCAGCTGCTGTTGAGAACTCAGGCTATTTCTAAGATACCTTGGAATATTTGATAGAGTTCATCTGAGCAAACCTTTGATTAATGATTTAATCCAGTGGTTCTCAAAGTGTGGTCCCTGAAACAACAGCATTGGCCAGATGTAAGAACTTGAGAGAAATGCAGATTCCTAGGCTTCAATCCAGACCTACTGAACCAGAAATTCAGAATAGAGCCTGAGAGTCTATATTCTAACAAGCCCTCCAGGGATTCTGATACCGACTCAGATCTGAGACTCAGAAGAGAGACAGAAGTGATTATTTGTAAGGAAGAGGAAGAGAAAGAGGAGAAGCACATTATTTGGGTGTATCTTGAACAGTCATGATGATGGTGATGATGGTGATGGTGGCAATGGCAGTGATGATAGTAGTGGCAATGATCTTGGTGTTGATGGTGTGATGATGATGGTGATAACGGTGGCAGTAAAGATGGTGGTGATGTTGGTGTTTATGATGGTGATGATGGTGATGTTGATGGTGATGGTGGTGGTGATGGTGGTGATGATGGAAATTAGGACATTGATAATGATCGTGACGATGATGATGATGATGAATTTTCCCACTTGTATAGTTTTAAAGCCCACAGAATGCTAGTCTGTATGTTCTCTTTTAATGCTCAACAGACCTGCAAGGTAGGCATTCTTATTCCCATTTATGGAGGAAATGGAGAAGCAGAGATCAATCCCCAGGATTCTAAAAATTAGTTCGTTGCCAAGTCAGTGGTCCCCAGGTCTCTAAGTTCCAGTCTAGGATACTGGGTTATGGAGAGCAGAAAATTCTTCCCCCTGGCTCACAACTCATCTTGCATCTTCGCATGGGTGAACAACACCAATGATTCTTTGTTTCTCGGATTGCTGAGTCCAAGGCAGCAAACATATCCTAAATCTAAAGACAAAGAAAAAAATGAATAGAGAGAATTCTAAAGAAGTAGAGGGACCAGGGAAGGAGGAAGTCCAGCAAGGTCAACAGGGGGAAACGCGTGCAGGCAGAATCGATTGGGTAAGACTTTGCTGAGGGTGTCCTTTCTGCCTCCCGGCCGCTCCGTCCCAACAAGGCATCATGTGTTTGGAGAGGGAAACCTGTCTCCCCATGTGTCTCTCTGTGAGACAGTCTCCAGGCTGTATTCAGCAGTTGCTAATCAATGTCCAGAAGCAGAGAAAGAGTAGAGAAAACAAGGGAAAATGAAATGGCAATGAGAGACATTCAGAATTTTTAAGTCCAATTTTAAAGGTTGGCAAGTATGAGGATGTGATCAGAAGGGAAAGTAAAGAAGGTCTTGAAGTAGAAGTCCTTTTGGCAACAAGATGCTGTGTTCGGTGGTTATGGCTGCCTTCTGCGAGAGAGTGGCAGCTCCTTCTTGGTGCTGCACTTTACGGGCACCACGTGTGATCTGAGAAGCCTGGCACCTCCGTTGATGAATGGGTTGAGTAAATGACCCAGGGCACACGGCTTGTAAGGGGACAATAAGGTTTATATACAGCCTGGCTTCACCAAACCTGTGCTGTTTCTTAAACATTGTTCTTGTTGTTAGCTGTCGCCGAGTTGATTCCCACTCATGGTGACCCCACGTGTGCAGAGTAGAACTGCTGCATAGGGTTTTCAAGGCTGTGACCTTTCAGAAGCAGATCACCAGGGCTGTCTTCCAAGGCGCCTCTGGGTGTGTCTGAACTGCCAGCCTTTCGACTAGTAGAGTGCTTAACCGTTTGCACCACCACCCACGGACTCCTTTCTTAACCAGATAAAACTTAGATAAAAGGAGGAAAAGAAAGTCCAAATTCAGAAACAAGGAATAGAATTGTAAATTCTTCAGGGATTAGGTTATAGATCCCAGGATCACTACATTCTACTCTACTGGGCCAATCGGTGTTCATAATCTGACTGAGTACCCTGGAGTCCCCAAACACCTCCTTGGAAGCTCACTTTTGCAGGTGCCCAGTGATTTTTGGAGAGTTCTGTGTCCCGGCAATTTTTGGAGAGTTCTGTGTCCTGGGAGGATTGGCCCTCAGCCCAGATCTTCTATCTGACTTTCTCATGTACTTGGAGCTTGTATGTTTCATATCACTCCATCCTTGGGAGGCTCGTTTTGTGGTCAGAACATGGGGCACATCTCTTGTTTCCCTCAATAGCTCTGAGGTGAAGCAGCAGCATTCATGGGGGAGACCTCTGCCCATGAAAGCAACCTTCTGTCTTTCCTGGGTTTGTCATTCTGACGCCAGGAGCTCTCATTGACTTTACAGTGAGCTCCGAATTCAGCCAGAGGAGTGACCTGTTTTTTCTCATGTCACACATGGTAACAGATGCCAAAGCACTTTGAAAATGGCCACAGGCTCTATAAGCCTTTAAATTATGCTGTTGTTGAAGAAGATGTGTGGGTGGTAGACAGACCCATGATGAAAGTGGTCTGTCATTCTGGGGGGCTTACGGTTCTGGGTGTTGAACTTTTTTCTGGGCAACCAACGGGAACCACTCAACAAGCCCTTCTGTTCGTTGTTCTCTCTAGACCCCTTTCTGGATATCTTTCCTTGTTGAGTGATTCAGAAGCAGCATTATTTAGTAGTGCCTCTTTGCATTGACATCCACATAGGTTTAGAGTGAGGTGAGAGGTGGCTTTGTTTCCCCCATGCCCTGACACTTCCATAGTGGGTGTTGGGAGCTGGCTTAAGATACGTCCCCTGTTGTGTTGCCAATGGCCTGAGTTGAAGTTGTCAATTCCAAAATAAACGTAAGACTAGACGGTGTGAAACAAGCAAACCAGCAAGCACCAGTCTTCTAGGGAAGCAGATCTTTTTAGGGGGCTTGGAGACCGTGGCCGTGCCTGTAAGCGCCCCCTGGGAGAAGTTTGTGCAGCCTCATCACACCCCACGTGGTGCGATTCCTCTCCCTCAGATCGGGCATGTCGTGGGGTCCTCCCTCTCTGTCCCTCATGCACAGGGAGACCACTCCCATGCCCGGCAGCCATGTTTGTACTGCGCCATCCCTGCACCCCCACCCAGGAGCCATTGGACAGAGGATGGGCCCTTGACCTTAAGACTGATCCTGGCCTGACCATCAGCTCCCTGGACCTAGGTGGCCTGACTTCAAGCCAGAGCCAAGCAGAGATTCTGTGTCTCTGGTAGGTCAGCCAATGAGGGAGAAGCAGGAACTGTGAGTGAATGGGGTGAGGGCTGTGGAAGGAAGGAGGGATCCGACCCAGGGTGAGAAGCACCATCACGCCAGCAGGAGAGACAAGAGCAAAGGCCAAGCCGGTCAGGAAGTGGCTGTTCAACAGCTGCCTCTGACCCGGGGACAGATGCGACAGAGGGAGAAGAGGAGAGCTGACAACAGTCACCAACAAGAGTAAGAAGGTCCAGCAGTAGTGAGGGACAGGAAAGTAAAGCAGGTGTTGGAGATTGAATTGTGGCCCCAAAAAGCTGTGTGGAAGTCTAACCCCGGTACTGTGCCTGTGACCTTGTTTGGAAATGGGCTCTGTGCCGTTGTGGTCAGTTAGGTTAGCATGAGGTCATACTGGGGTAAGGTGGGCCCTGATCCAGTGGTGTCCTTCTAAAAGAGGGGAAGAGACACAGACAGACAGACAGAGGGAAGATGACTATGGGAAGATGGAGGCAGAGACAGGAGTGATGCAGCCACAAGCCAAGGAATGCCTGGGGCCACCAGAAGCTGGAAGAGGCAGGGAAGGAGCCTCCCCTAGAGCCTGCAAAGGGAGCACAGCCCTGCTGATAGCTTCCTTTTGATCTTCCTGTCTCCAGGACTGTGAGAGAATAAAGTTCTGGAGCTTCAAGCCCCGCAGTGTGTGGCACCTGGTGAAGGCAGCCCCAGGGCACTCCTACCGAGGATCCCTGGTGAGTGTTGAGCACTGAGCTATGAATTCCTGCTGCTCAGACTCCCCAAGCCGCCCAGGTCCAGGACCACCCTCAGTCCCCTGCTTGGGAAGTCAGCCCTCTTCCCATTCTTTTTTTTTTTTTAATTTTATTGTGTTTTAGGTGACAGTTTGCAGAGAAAATTAGCTTTTCATTCAAAAATGTATACACAAATTGTTTTGTGACATTGGTTGCAATCCCCACAATATGTCAGCACTCTCCCCCTTTCCGCCCTGGGTTCCCCGTGTCCATTCGTCCAGTTTCCCTGCCTTCTTGTCTTTGCTTTTGCGCAGGAGGTGCCCGTTTGGTCTCGTCTCCTTGATTGAACTAAGAACCAAGTTCCTCCCGCGTGTTATTGTTTGTTTCGTAAGCCGGTCTAATCTTTGGCTGAAGGCTGGACTTCGGGTGCGGCTTCAGTTCTGAGTTAGCAGGCCGTCCGGGGGCCATAGTCTCGGGGCTCTGTTCCCGTTCTTGCCTTTCGGTTCCCTGGGTTTCCCCTGCTGTCCTGTGTGAACCTCGGAGCTAACTTAGGTGACTGTGTTCCTTACAACCAGCGAAAGCACATCAACAAGCCGCAGTGTAAAAGCAGGCGTGAGAGACTGTTCCTGGTGCTTAGGGAGGCACAGAGCCACAGAACCACATACACATGGGGGTTTGCTCTTACGTGGTGGTTTGATGAAAACTGCTGATTGGAGCTCTACAGCTGGGGAACTGGAGTGTTGCTTGCATTTATCAATGTTCAAAGACAAAAATGCAGCCGTATCCAGCTAACACCAGGGATTAGCCGGAGGCGGCGGTTTCCAGAATTCATCCTTGCGAGAGCTTTGTGCTGTCACCGACACCATCTCTATCCTCAGGCTTCACTGAGAGGAAAGTTTCCAGAATTGTCTTGCTGGTTCTCAGTCGCACAAGAAGACAGCTCATCTGGGGGCAGTTTACTGAGGCGCGAGGCCCCAGTAGGGGAGTGGGGGAGACACAGAGTTGCTCTTGGTCCACGAAGTTGACCGACTGCACAGACAGAGACATGCCCTGCCTTCCTGTCTGGGTTATTGTTGGCTGCCGTGGAATGAGCCCTGACTCAAGGTGACTCCACGCACAACGGAAGGAAACACTACCCAGTCCCGCACCATCCATAGACTGGTTGCATATCAGACTGTTGTGTGATCCCTAGGCTTTTCATTGGCTCATTTTCAGAAGTAAATCACCAGGCCTTTCTTCCTCATCTGTCTTAGTCTGGAAGCTCCGCTGAAACCTGTTCAGCATCCTAGCAGGATGCAAACCTCCACTGAGCGGAGACCTGCTACAATTTACACCTCCCTCAGAACTTAGCAATCAGTCATAGGTGAGTAGGAAAGCAAATAAAAAACATGGCTGTTGTTCGCTCAAGGGAAATATAATTTGCTGCCTGTCTCACCAGTGGATAGGATTCAGATCACTTTAATAATGTAAACAGAAGGATCATTTAACCAAAACCTGGGACTGTGTGGTAAGTGAGCTAAACCCTCATTTTCCCTAGCAGGAAATCAATAAGTAATATTGAAACAGAAAGTAATCAGGAAAGAATGTTGAAAACGTGCTACGTAGAATCTGGCCAGTGTTCTGTCATGATTCACAAAGTTTTCACTGGCAGATTTTTCAGAAGTAGATCGCCAGGACTTTCTTCCTATTACACCAGTGATCACGAAGATGGTGCCAGCTGGGCAGCTTTTCATTCTGTTATACCTAAGATCGCCACGAATCGGAGCCAACTCAGTGGCGGCTGACAACATTAGCAATAGGACGCTGTTGTTAGGTGCCGTCCAGTCACTCTGACTCATGGTGACCTTATGTTTAACAGAAGGAAACATTGCCCTGTCCTGCACCGTCTGCACGATCGTCGATACGTTTGAGTCCATTGTCGTCCATCCTCCACACGAACATCGAATGTGTTCTACCTTAAACACAGGTCCTTTGAACACTAGGTGAACATATCTTCTCTCTAGCTGCATCGGACAACTTGTCCCTCCACCACCACCTTGGCCTGGTAAACTCCTATTTACCCTTCAAAGCCAAAGCCATCCCTCTGGGGATGCCCTCCTGACGCCCCCAGGCAGGCCACATAGTGCTTTCCTTCTGGTTTCCACGTCCCTTGGTCTGCACCTTGAACATACGGTGAGCCACTAGACCTGTGTACCAGGCTCATGGCCACCTTACTGATCCTCTAAATGACCTCCCCTCCACCACTCTGCTTCACCCACCTGGCATCCCTGCTCTGCATCAAGCACACCAGCCTTGCCCCAGGACCTTTGCCCATGCTATCACCCCTGTGAATAGAAGACTTTCTCCTGATATTCTGTGGTTCATTCCAACTAAGTCACCCCAGGGAAGTCCTTTTCAAAGTCCAACCCAGTACCTTGTCCTTGTAGTTGTTCGGTGCCCTTGAGTCAGCTCAGACTCATAGCAACCCTACGTATAACAGAACGAAACTTTGCCCGATCCTGCGCCATCCTCACAGTACTAGGTATGTTTGAGCCTATTGTTGCAGCCACTGTGTTAATCCATCTTATTAAGAGTCTTCCTCTTTTTCGCTGACTCTCTGTTTTACCTAGCATGATGCCCTTCTCCAGGGATTGGCTCCTCCCGATGACATGTCCAAAGTAAGTCAGACAAATTCTCACTGTCATTGCTTCTAAGGAGCATTCTGATTGCATTTCTTTCAAGACAGAGTTGTTCCTTCTTCTGGCAGTCCATGGTTCATTCAGTATTCTTCGCCAATATCACACTGTCTGTATATTGCATTATAATGAATGGTTGATACATCAGTGCCCAAAGATAAACTATGTCTTCCACCCTTATATTTCTGCTGCCCAGCACAGGACCCAGAATACTCAGTAAATGGACTTTAACTGGGTAGTGGCTGGACAGGAACCATTGACCACACAGTTCGTTGTAATTTCTCGTGCTGACCACTAGGTGGCAGTGTTAACCGAGAGTAGCTTGGTACAGAGTGAGTGTGTGTGTGTGTGTGTGTGTGTGTGTGTGTAGAGGAGGGAGATTTGTAAAATGGCAAAGTTTAGGAGGCCAGTGTGCAACTGATGATTAGGAAATTTCCAAATCAGCTGTTTCTGTCCTGTAGAAATATGTGTCCCTGAATTTAAATCCTGCACTTGTTCATCAGTTAAAAGTGAAGGTGCAATGACCCAAACAGCAAATTTAGGAGGTATGTTTCAGTTCAAGGATGTTAAGGAATTTCCTCAGTACGCCGTAAGGCTCCTGATAGTTGTGGGTTCACAGTAGTTCACTTTAATACATGGCCTGCTGTCATCCTTCAGCCAGAATTCTGCAATGAGCCATATGTGGATCACACTCTGTGTTTCTGGAGTGCATGTGGTTAGATACATATCTAGTTCATCAGGAACACTTATGGCTTCCTAGCACCCGAGAGGCAGAGCGCTCACATTCATTGAGTTTACACTAGGTGCTGTGTGTGCTTGTTAGTCCTTGTCAAGTCGGCTGCGACTCATGGTGACTTTATGTATAACAGAACAGAACGTTGACCAGTCCTGGGCCATCTTTGTGACTGTCCTTATGTTTGAGTCCATTGTTGTGGATATTGTGTCACTCTTTCTCATTACGGGTTTCTCTGGTTTTCGTTAGTTTTCTACTTTACCAAACAGGATGTCCTTTTCTAGGGACTGGTCTTTCCCGATGAGATGTCCCAAGTAAGCAAGGCAAAGTCTCGCCATCCTTGCTGCTAAGAAGCTTTCTGGTTGTATTTCTTCTAAGACAGATTTGTACATTCTTCTGTGAGTTCATGGTGTATTCAATATTCTTTGCCAACACCACAGTTCAAACCCAGCTCTTCCTCTGTCTTCTTTTTTCATTATCCAACTATAGGTACCATATTGCTGTTAGTTGCTGTATAGTCGACTCTAACTCATGGTGACCCCATGTATGCAGAGTAGAACTGCTCCATAGAGTTTTCAAGGCTGTGACCTTTTGGAAGCAGATCGCCAGGCCTGTCTCCCAAGGCACCTCTGGGTGTGTTCAAACCGCCAGCCTTTCAGCTAGTAGTCAAGAGCTTAACTGTTTGTGCCACCCAGGGTCTCCCGTATGTACCATAAAACAAAAACAAAAAAACACCCGTTGCTGTTGAGTTGATTCCGACTCATAGTGACCCTATAGGACAGAGTAGAACTGCCCCATAGGGTTTCCAAGAGCGGCTGGTGGATTTGAACTGCCGATCTTTGGGTTAGCAGCCGTAGCTCTTAACTACTACGCCACTAGGACTCCATATGTACCATGCAGGTGGCTAAATGCCTTACTGGTTTAGCATGGTCCTTGAATGCTGTGCAGATTTAAATATCACAAGTCAGTTTTACAGATGAGCTGGGAAAGCAGAAATGAAATTTGGGGCCGTCTGACTCCAAACCTGTTTTCTTTGCACTGAGCCACCCCGCCTATAACTGGCCCCTCTGGTCCCTGGGACTCAACCTAATTATACCCTGTTTATTGTGCTTCCCACTAGAATGAATGAAGTTCTGTGAGGACAGAGACCAAGTCCCTTTTTTGTCATCATGTCCCAGTGTGTGGCACAGGTCAACACTCAGCACATTTGATGGGTGGGTCCCTGGTCTCTGCTTAGAGCAGGGTCCTCTAAGGGGATGTTTCTCAACCTTTTATCACAATTGCCTCCTCGTGTGGAAACTTAAGACCACGGGTGTCCTGCCCATCTCTTTATGTACTGTCTCTTTAGCCGTGCTTTATGCATAAAAATCATAAGATTTTCTTTCGTCCACCCGAAGTCTTCTGTGCCAGTGACCCCCCTGAGCTGAGTTGGAGCAGACGTTTTTAGGAACATGCCGTTCCCTGGTGGGGAGGGAATCTCGTATTCCCACAATATCCTGGAGCGCTAACTAAAGCGACAGTATTCCTAGAGCCCGTCTGCCTTCATTCTCCTATTCCATGTTATTCACTTCTCTAGGCTTAGAGGCTGGCACAGT